AGAATAAAAAATGTATTAAAACAGCAACACAACATAATTCACAAATTAAAAGACAGCTTGAAGAGGTGTGTTTTGGTCAAAACTGTGGCGCACTTACACTGTAGGTGCGCCGCGTTTGCGCTTCAGATGACGCTCCCTCCGCAAAATGAGGCCCCGTCCGCGAGGTGAGGCCCCACGCAGGCTGCGTGATCTGCGGGAGGGGCGGCCCTGTATAATAACGTCATATTAAATGCAGTCATTTGGTCTTTAGCAACAGCTTGTGTCATCGGTGTTCGTTTGAATGCTGCCAGTTTGTTGACGGCCTGTGTGTTGATGGGACTTCTCATGCTCCCCAAATGTTTCCCCTGCCTTTCGCCAGTTGTTAAACCCTCCTATCACAAAACTCCCATCCCTGATCTTGTCAGCACTGACGAGCACACACAGAAGAAGCACACCGCATTGTCACTTTCTCTTATATAGTGAAGCTTTTTATAGACTGCTTACACTAAACTGCTAACTCAAAAATAGTAACTCAAAATAAAACTTTTGTATTGACTTGTTTAGTGAACTTTTTGGCGTTGCAGTTACAACTCTCCACCAACAGATGGGGGTGCTGCAGCCCCCTCAGCATTTATCGCTGTTCAGTTGAAGGTAGTTTGTTTGCATCCAGGATTTAATATCTGAGAGACAGTTGGTGAGTGTGGAGTGAGTTGTGACAGTGATGGTTTTTGTGGAGATGTAGAGTTGGATGTCATCCGTGTAGCAGTGATACTGAAGGTTATGGCGGCGGATGATTTTTCCAAGGGGGGATGAAGAGGAGGGGACCAAGCACCGAACCCTGGAGGACGCCTTGGGACAGAGGGGCAGTGGAGGAAGTGAAGTTATTGATGTGGATGAACTGGTTTCTGTTGGTGAGGTATGATTTCAGCCAGGAGAGTGCAGTGTCTGTGATGTTAAGTGATGATTCCAGGCGGGCAGCAGGATGGTGTGATTGATGGTGTTGAACGCTGCTGTGAGGTCGAGGAGGATGAGGATGTTGAGGTTGCCGGAGTCTGAGGAGAGGAGGAGGTCGTTAGTGATTCTGAGGAGGGCTGTTTCTGTGCTATGTTTTGTGCGGAATCCTGATTGAAAGGGTTCAAACAGGTTATTGGAGCTGAGGTGGGATTTCAGTTGGGAGGCTACAACACGTTAGAGTAGTTTTGATAGGAAGGGGAGATTCCAGATGGGCCGGAAGTTGGACATGATGTCAGGTGTGAGTCCAGGACATTTCAGCCTCACTGATGAATAAAACATGTTTTCTGCCTCTGGTATATTATAAAGACCTAAATGTAGTTTTGTTTAAGTGCCAAATAACCTATTACTGAGCCACATTTACTGATAGCCTATGTGAAAGCTTGCCAACCTGGGAATGGAAAATAAGATAACGCAATGACACCATGTCCAGTTCATGGTCTTATATAATGATGATGATCAATGGTATCCAATAATAATTGAACAAGCTACAACAAATGTTTTAGGTAATAATTACCTAAATGCATGTATGGAATCGGGCCATAAATGATAAACAGATTGTTGTAAAGCTAGCCATTTTCATGTTTAGTTAAGTGTGTTTGCATGCTAGTTTAGCTAATTAGCACTAAACTTAAAACGGCTACTAAAAATTGCAGTAAATGAACATTGTTTGGGTTTATATATATGTGTGTGTGTTTGTTACGTACGTTATGTAAAGTCCCTGTTTACCCACACATAAAACTGGACAGCCTTTTATTTTATAGTGTATCAACATGCCTTTATTTAAACAGAGGAACCTGTGTTGAACCTGCATTTATCACAATCTGTGTTGACCATTGTTTTTTCCGTTCACGCCTTCTTTACAAAATGTGCCTTATCTTATCTTCTCCCTCTTATATTCATATTGTCAGACATATTCTCCTGTGTGGCTGAACATGATGGTATTATACTATAAGACAAGGGTGCAGGTTGCATTTAAAAAAAAAGACTATACCAGACTGTGGTTCTGGGTGAGTCTTCTAATGAATGGATGAATGGACTTTCTTTCTCTTGGCGGGATTATCTGTTCCAGTATGACCTTTTGTTTTCTCAACTGCTCCCTTTTCATCGCATCCCCTCCAGCTTTCCTCAGCGTGTTGTGATTTTTCGTTTGTTATATTTGGTTGGAGCAGTGATGCCCGCTATTAATATTTTGGCTTTTGGAAATCAGTTTTCTCTTTCTTTTATCCACAGTGTTACGCTGCCCAAAACTCTAGATAGAAAGGTAAGTAACAACATATTTTAAAAACCCGGGATAAAAGAAAGAGCAAACTGATTTCCAAAAGCCAAAATATTTTTGTTTAATAGCGGGCGACACTGCTACAACCAAATATAACAAACGAAAAATCACAACACACTGAGGAAAGCTGGAGGGGATGCAATGAAAAGGGAGCAGTTGAGAAAACAAAAGGTCATACTGGAACAGATAATCCCGCCAAGAGAAAGAAAGTTGTTACTAAAAGTGGGATCAGTATTTTTACAGCTATGTTTTTAAATTGTAAACCATCTGACCCTGATCAAAACAAAACAATGACTAAGATTAATAAACACCCCCCTCCTGTTCTAAGGAATAAAGGGAAGCATCTCAGCCCAGATGAGCCATTAACAAACACAGTGATAGTGTAAATAGTCCACAGTCGAGGCAAAGGTGTATCTTTATCTGATGCGTGTCTTCTATAAAGGCTGGTCCGTGTCAGCAACAGTTGCAAACAAGGAGTTTACGTTCAAAAAGTGGCAATGCTTTTCTCGGTGGGTCTGAGCCTTGTGGTGCTGCTTTCAGTGGTGGGAGCAGCCACACTGGAGAGGTTTGTCACATCTTCGGTCAAATACTGACTTACAGAAGGCGAATGCATCAAGCCTTACTTTTAAAGACTCCAAAATGGTTGATTAGCACGTGTTATGTCTTCTTGTTCCTCTGTGTCTTATGTATTTGGATGTGCAACAGGGTGGAGTATGACTACTACAAATACCATCCAATGCCAGAGGTGAGAAAGCAGATTCTCACTATTACACTTTTTTTAATTTTGACAGACCACTATACACAGAATCTAATGTGTGTTGTGTGTATTCCACCATAGAGATCACAGACTGGATGGTTCAGGCTGCAAATAATTAACCTGAACTTGTGACTATAGTGGAATATGGACAGACCTATGAGAAGAGGACTATTAGCTTGCTCAAGGTAAAAACAACTCTGAAGGCTGATGAAGTCATTTTCTACAGAATGAGATGTTGAAGCAAAGATGTTGTCTGTTGCCACTTTTACCATTGATTTCCGACACAGATAAAAAATGAGCAAATACCATAATGATACTGGGGTGTATTGTTGTTTTTGTGTGTGTTTGTGTTCAACAGTAGCCAAATAAGAAGCTATATCTGGTTAACATTTCACAATGAACCCTCTTTTTCATATTCAGTAGATTTTCTAAAAACTGTTCGGAAACTATTGAACCAATGTGTAAACACTTAAATGTTTTGTATTTCAAACAATGTCCAACATGGTTATGGATAATCCTGTTGTGAAGGCATGGCTGAGGTCAAATGCCTTGTTCAAGTTGATGTACAACATATTCTTTTGAAATAAATATTATATATCTGAACAAATGCGCTGCAAGAATTATTCTTAATTTATGTAAACTTGCAATTAGAAGTCAATATAACTAATAGATCTAAGTTGAAATAAATGTATTACAATCTTCTTAACTTGAAATGATGAGTTATATAAATGCAGAACTTGAAAATGTGAGTTCTAATAATACTGAAATGTGAGTTTATTTGACGAGGTCAATAAGGTTTTATTTGCACTGATAATGTAAGATTGGTATTTGTTTCAACTCTGAGTGTAAAGTTAAATCAACTTAGACAACTTGCAAAACAATGTTAACACAACTAGAACCTTTAAGTCATATCAACGATATTTACTTGCATTAATGAGTTTAAACAAAGATTGTCTTCAAGTTGACCTGATTTGCTTTTTCAAGGCAGCAGGTGAATTTTCATTTGCAAGTTGAACTGACATGAAATGTTTTACAGTGTATATGAATTTGTGTTCCAGATTGGCGTTAATACAGGGGAGCAAAAGAAAGCTATCTGGATGGACTGTGGTATACACGCCAGAGAATGGATCGCCCCGGCCTTCTGTCAGTACTTTGTCAGAGAGGTAATTTTAAAAAAAACATAATTTTCCTTTAAGTGAATATGATTTTGTACGACATATCCTCCAATATATTAATCTGGCACTTGTGTTTTTCACAAATCAGATCCCTCAAGCATACAAAACGGACCCAAAGATGCAAGCGATGATGATGACGAATATGGACTTCTATGTCACCCCCGTGCTCAACATAGACGGATACATCCACTCCTGGAAGGACAACACTGTCAGTGCTTGAGTTTGATGGATTTTTATCAAATTACCTTGCTGGGTTAAGCCTCAAGCTCTCGAGCCACAGAAGAACAGGATATGAGAGAATGATAGTCCTATTAAAGCAGAGGCAGTTAAGTTACAGTGAGCTACAATTCAATCAGTGAATACATTGATTCATGGTGCTCAACACGAGTACCAAATCATCTCGTTTTCAATATAAGATGAATGGGAAATGATATCAAACAGCAATCCCAGGCAGTATGGAAGTATGTGCAAGTGCCCTGTTCATTTCTAAATAGAACAACCCAGAATCAACCGATTTTAACCGAGTGAACCCTTTTGACCCGTAGACTCGACTGTGAGGAAGACAGGTCACCGGGACCTTAAACTGCACCTGTTACGGCACAGACCTCAACCG